TGTCCTGAAGTAAAGAACTTCCATGAATAGGGCATAAATGTAGAAAGATATACTTAAACACCTGATAACACTTGAGACGAGCCAACATACGAACACTAGAAAAGCACACTATCAATTCCTACACTTTTATTTTTTAAATGGGTTACTTTTCTCCACTGACACTCACTTTAGCCCCTCCTACCCCCATCCAGTCAACAGGATGCCAGAATAATAAGGTTCTCGAATGATTGTATAATGATGTACAGTTTTGAAAGCTTAAACTTACACTTTGACATTTGACCCTGACAACTAGCTACTCTTGAGACAGGCATAGGAACATATATCAAAAAAAGAGATGGGAAAGCAACTTAACATACATGCGTTACTGATTAATCGTGATCTATAACATTATTTTTAAATGTGTTCTCTTTCATACAGACACATCTAATTTTTAAGATGTAAATATCAGAAAATAAGAAAAAACATAATGACAAATGTTAATCTCCAAAGATGATTCCAAAAATCAGAATATAACAGAACTCAGAAGTAGTTCTGTGCTACTTCAAAGCACAGCAGAGACAATGTGAGATTCAACATCACAAATAAAAGGAAGATGAACAATATAAACCCAGATGAATTAAAAATCGACATTTCTGGTTGTTTTAAAATTGTTTAAAACCCTATTTAACTTTCAATAAATGCTACAAATAAATGACTAAGAAACATTCATTTGTCTGATTATTTTATTTCAAAATGATCCTACCTTAACCAATCTGTTTAACAGGTTCAGAACCTCTTCTTTCATTGGAACAGATGGGAAATTGAACCATTCTAGCAAATGCAGAAAAAGTAGCCTCTCCTGAATTAGATCAGCGTAGCAGATTAAGTTGTGCTCAACCTTGCTGAGAATACTCTTGAGAGCGCGTTCCCTGATCTCAGCCAGCTGATGACCTGTCAAAGAAGTACAAAGCTACTCTACTTCCCGACTGCAAGGAGACGTCCGCCCAGAAATTATTCCAAAATTTAGTTATTTAGGCTGGGGGCGGGGTAAAGAAGGAAATAAACCAATTTTTTCAGAGGTAGGCCGCTGGTGCATTCGGGACTCGAACGGTGGAGTTTGGGTCTACTCGGTTTGGGTCCCTGGCAACGCCGGGGCAAAAGAGGGGGCCGTCGCGGGGATGTCCAGCCTCGGAACTGTAATGGTACCATTCTCAACAAGTGGCCAGGACAGTACCGCGTCTTGGGCAACGGGCAACTCAGACTATTACCTAGCTTCTTGATGAGCCCGGTCAAGACCATCTCGTCCCCTCAATCTGCCGCCGCCGGAGAATCAAACTGCCGCGCCACGGCGTCCGGCCACAATTAATGTTCCCCCAGAAACTCGGGCGGCGGGACGTGGGTTCCCCAACGCCTGAGGTAACTACCCCACCAAGAGAGTAAGAGGCATTGCGTAAGCTGTTCTCGGCCCCCGCGTTGGCAGAAGAGCTTACAGTCTCTTTATAAGTACTACTATGCTCTTGCTAAACAGCAGTGTCTGTTTTAAGAAGAAGCGGAAACAAGGGAGAGGAAGCAGGGGTAGAACCTGCTATGGCCGCCGTGCACGCCGGGAGTTGTAGTACTCGCTCAGTCGTGCTCCCAGCACAGAGCTCCGGACCCGCCACCGCGCTCTCCTGTCTGAGGTTCCGGCTTGTAAGCGCGGGAATTTGCTATACTGCGCGCGGGCTGCAGAGGCCCCGGCAGAAGCCCAACCCGCCCCGCCCTTCTTCCTCGTTCCGCGGAGGATTCGATTATATCCCTACCAACCTGAATTCTCAGCTCCCAGAACATTACAAT